CCCCGCCCCGGCTCCCGGGCGGGCCCAGGCGTCCGGGGGAGGGAGGGGGCTCCCGCCCCGCTGCGCTGGCGGAGCCGGGAACCCCACCCCACTCGGGTCCCGCCGAGCAACCCGGCTCCATCCCTGCTCCATCCCCGGCTCCATCCCGATCCCAGCCCCGGCTCCATTCTGGCTCCATCCCTGCTCCATCCCCAGCTCCATCCCTGGCTCCATCCCAGCTCCATCCCGACTCCTACTCGGCTCCAGCCCTGCTTCAGCCCCGCTGTAAACTGACCCCGGCTCAAACCTGGCTCCATCCCGACTCGATCCCTGCTTTGACACGGCTCCTGCCCTGCTGCAACCCGGCTCCATCCCTGCTCCATCCCCACCCCATCCCCGCTCCAACCCCACTGCAACCCAGCTCCATCCTTGCTCCATCCCTGCTCCATCCCTGCTTCATCCTGGCTCCCTTGTCTCTGCCCCACAGCCAGCCCCTGGTACCAGCCGCTCACAGCCCCAGCAGAGCTGCCCGAGCCCCCCGCGCCGTGAGCGGGTCTCTCCCCTCAGCGAGGACGGAGTTGGCCCAGCGCACTCATCCTCCCTCTAACAGCCAGTTTTTAACTGATGTGACGGATTCTTGTCTGAGCCACCACAGGGCTTGAAGGGTCCTTACACTTGCACTTACTTTTGTGCTAAAGGCAATTAGCAGAAGAGTGGCAAACAACCGCCAACGTCGGTATTAAAAAAAGCAGCCTTTTTTTACCCACAGCAGCTTGGGAAGAGCAGTGGGATCGAGGCATAAAGACCAAAGCAGCCCCTTCAGCACTGTTCTGCAATTGAACCAGGTTTTTTTTAAGGACACGCACAGGCCTGGGATCTGGTCCCGGGTTAGCTGGGGCACTTCTGGGCCAAGTGTCTCTCCCAATGCCCCAGTAAGGCTGAAACAGGGGCAGAACAGGGACAGAGACCCCCAGAGTGCCACCGAGCCCCTCCGGAAACCCTCGAGCTGCTGCCGATAAACCCTCCCTTGGCCACCGGACCCCTTTAGGGGCTGATTTTGGCTTCTTTGCAGCGCTGGGCAGCAACAAACCCACCTGGGCCAGTGCTTGAACATACCCACTCACAGAGTCTGAAAAGCCAAGTGTAAACACGCTAGCAGGTGTTTAAGGGGACCCTGAGAGGCTGGGGGAGACCCTGCCCTCGGAGGAGCCCCACCAGTGCTAAGGGGCTGGATTTACATCCAATTCAGGCTGCAGCACACGTGCTCAGACACCTGAGGACACAGTGTTCGGGAAGGCAGCTGAGTTGGTTATTTAAGCAGAAAAATGCCTGACTTTTTAAAGCTCAAAGTTGGGTTTCATTTATTTAATGGCAAATTTGTTCAACCAACTCAAGACAACTTTAAATAGAGGGGCGGGGGGAGAAAGCACAGGCATGAAAGTTTCAGTTTGACCCTGCAGGAAGGTCTTGAGGAGCCAGCAGAGACCTGGAAACAAAGATCCAGAATAGAATTTAAAAATGAAAACCTTAACAGTGCTTCAGCAGCCACAATTTGTATGCAAGCTTTATACAGAGACTTCACTGCCTGCAGTCGTTACCTTGGGGTCGACATCTCTTCACCCAGAGCCCATAGGAAGTTGCCACTTCTGATTTAGTCAAAGACTTTCCCACCGCCTACCATGCCCAGCCTCCAGCTGGAAAGCCATGGGGGGCAACACCAGTCCCCTCCTTGCAGCAAGCAGGTGACTGAGGAGCATCTTTGCTAAATGTGAGGCACTTTGTGCTGCTGCTGTCACGGTGTGAAGCTGGAGGGGGGTCTGGGGTCCTCAGCCATGCCTTCCTGGCAGCTGCGGCACGGCCAGGGAAATCCCTTCTCCATCAGTCCGGCCCCTTCCCCAGCGCTTCCAAACAAGCAGCCAGGGACTGAGGGCCGGGGAACGACCGAGACACCCCGCCACACATCTCCCTCGGAGCACGAAGCGGTGGCACATGATTTGTGGCAGCAAGGCACAGACAGTGACATTCAACATGTACATCATCTTTATTCATACAACTATAAAGAATGACTGTAGCAATTTTTGACTGGTATCACCTAGGATTAGCTCTGCTAATTGATATTGCTATAAATTTAATTTAGGGACAAAAAAGGGCTGGAGAAGTGGGGGAAGGCAAGGCAAGAAGGATAAGTGAATAAAATAAAGATCCTCAAACATAAAAATCAGAGAAGAGCTAAGTTTACAGATAAAGTGTGCAGGTCCTTTCCCCCCTGCTCCCCCCATCCAGAGAGCAAGGGTTGGAGATTTCTGTCAGTCTTCCAAGATGCTGCTCACCCGAGGGGGAAGGCCTGGGGCGAGATGTCTGCCCTGCAGCCCAAGGCAGCTTCCCCAAACCTCTCGTGGCTCTCTCCAGATCCTGGTTTAAGCCCCGGACTCACATTTCACAGCAACCATCTTCATTGCCAGCATGAGTGGTTGGCTGCTACAAGTAAGGCCTGGCTAGCAGGGCAGTTCCTCCTAGGTGCGAAGCCCAGAGGCTGATGCGCAAAAGGAAAAAAGACACTGTTGGGGTAGTCTTTTGGCCAGCTCTGCCAGTGGTTTCACAGGTGAGGGGTGAGCGCGGAGCCATCGAGACTTTTGGAGGGGAAAGAAAAGGGCAACAGACACGGCAGCGTCAGTGTGCGTCCCAAGTGAGGCCTGAACCCGATCAGACGGTGAAGCACAGATGTGCGAGAAGAACACAAAGCAGAAACGGGGGAAAGGAAGAAAAAAAATGGCACAAAAAAAAAGTGTAAACTTTCCTTCGTTAATATCGCTAGCTAAGAGTTTTCCTACAGTCTTGTTATCAAGTTGAATTTCCTGCAGGAAGGGAGAGCCTGGAGCTCTCAGGAGTTTGCTCCCTGCAGATGACTTGCTCTTGGTTTACGCTGCGGGAGCCCCTTGGTTTCTGTGCTGGAGGGAGAGGGGACAGGCCGGCTGGACTCGGAGGAGGCACCAGTTCCACTGGTGCCTGTGGGATGAGTCTGGCTGGGGATGCCAGCATTTCCCGGAGGAGGTTGGAGGGGAGAATTCTGATGTTTGCCACGGGCCTGATGGCCTGGCCCATTTCTGTGTCGGTTCACGTTGCTGTATCTCCCAGGGGTGGGGGGGCCAACGTGGCGCTGGCCCTGGGACCTGTACCCTTGTCCCGGTCTCCTGTTCCCCTGGAAAGCCTGAAACAGAAGAGGGTGGGCAAGTGAGCGATGGCAACACAGAGATAGCTCCTACCAGCAGGAGGGCTACAACCTCCTGATGACACAGCCCAGACAATCCTCCCCCCTAGCACCTTCCATTCCTGGGGAGAGGCGGAAAGGTGAAAACTCAAAGGCCTCATTCCAAGTGGAACCATTAAACCAAAGCTGCTTTCTCTTGTTTTCAGGTGGCCTTGAGAATTGACTCATCAGCAGGATCATCGATAACCAAGTGCACAGCCCTTCTATGCTCAAGTCCCTTCTGTCCATCTCAGTGAAAGGCAGGGAGGGACCTGGTCCAGAAGTCAGAAGAGGAGCCACAAACCATAGAGCAAGCTTCCCTCAGCTTTATTGTGTCAGTGCTTCTCTTGCAAAGCTGGACAGGGTGCAGTTACCTCGCGCTGAGGCTGGGGAGGACGGCTGCCGGCGTTCCCTGCAGCAGCATCCGCAGAGGACAAGGGCTTCTTGCTTGCTGTGGTAAGGCTTGGAGCAGAGGCAGAGGCACATTCGGGGGTGGAGGGAGCAGAGGTCTCGCTGGGACTGCTCAAGGACACCGCCGTGACAGAGCTGCACCGGGATCTGGTGGAATAGCTGTTCTTTGGATGGGAAACTGAAAGAGAAATGCCCCAAAAGGTGCGTTCTGCACACAGGACCCAGACAATTCATCCTCTAACTTCTGTTTGTACCCTGCTAGCTATAGCACTACAGGGATTGCTCATGGCTGGAACCAAAGGCTTGAAGGGACAACACAACCAAAGCTTTGTCTCGCTGCAAAAAGCTATGTGCGCTATGAACTGTACAAGAGCTCTGTTGACTGGGACTAGCTCTCAGCAGCAAAGAAAAGGGTACAGACCCCTCTGCAAAGGGAGAAGCATCGCACACTACAGCAGTAGCAAGGGGAGGGCCGACTCCTCTCCCCACTGCCATCCAGGCTGAGAGGAAATGAAACACAACAGAACTCTCCCAGTCCCCTTGCTTTCAAGTCTGGGGACACACAGAGAGCCTTTGTGACACCAGGGCTAAGGCTAGGGCGATTCACACCTCAGCTCCCCAGCTCCTCCCATCCAGCTCACCTTGCCCGAACGAGGCGATGCTCTTCTTCAGTGCATCGAGGTCACAAGTGAACCGCGCCACTCTGCCCAGATCTTCGTCGTATTTCCTTTCGCTCACAAAGTGCTTCACAGAAAAGGCAACATTTCCACGTTAATTCAGTCTATGCACTAAGCTATGGAGCACAGGAATGGAAAAATGGAGGTTCAAGTTTTCTCCTTTGGTTAGTAACAAGTTTTCTGCTTTGGTTAGTAACAGGTATCCGAGTTGGGCACTGCTTGAAAAAAATCTTGGCTGAGAAGGCAGACTGCTATTTCCATAAGTCACCGGAGACGAGCAGATTTTTCTGCATGACTTCCACCTACACACAAACAGCCTTCCCTAGGCTCCAGGAGCCAAGCTGTGGGCTAACTCAGTCTAACAGCAGCTGAACTCCGCCAGTCTCTGGTCTGTGAAATCAGCACAGCCCAGGCCTCCATTCTGGATGTTTTTAGCAGCAATAGTTTTCTGAATTGCACTGAATCTGGTATAGGAATGACTACTGCCAGAAGAACACAGGCCACAGGGGTTTAGTTTTCAAACCAGAGTTTAACCGATCCTTTATGCAACTTTGTACTGACCTCTTGTGGCAGAAACTGGTGTGCTGGAGAGCAAAAGTGTTTTATGGAATATAAAAATAATTAATGCACAGCAGGCAGGTTCTCCTGCTTTAGGTCAAAAGTCAGAGGTCAGTCCGCACCAGCAGCAGATTTTCACTACTGCTCTGAGGACAAAGCTGCTGGGTTGCCACGTTCCCTACTCTGTACCAGCTCACAACGGCTGAAAGTTGTACTGCACAAACCGATATAATGGTTGGATGATCTTTTGTTAGCTAAAGTCAGTATTTTACAGAACAAATATTCTAAAATAAGACTCAGGATGAAGTGTACCGTATCCTACCGCATGGCTGCAGTGCGCAGAGCACTGGCAGCGAGTTCTGAGAATTACAGAGGCAAGGAAAGTGTTGCACGCAACACACAATACCGCAGTCCTAACTGTCAGAAACCCAGCATCTTATGAAAAACACATATCATGCTTGGGTAAGATCAGGACTAGGTTAGATAAGGACTACAGCCAAATACTCCCAGCTGTGTCTCCTCCCTCCATTTTAACTTGCTATATGGCCTTCACCTCTGTCAGTTTTCTAGCCCAGAGGGCTAGGTCAGCACCTGTGTGGCTTCAGAGACACGACCAGCCTCCAATTACACAGTAGGGAAAAGATCCCCCTTCTGATCACACGCTGGGGCACAGGTACAGCTAGGGTTTAACCCACACTCCCCAGCTCTGAAACAGAAGCAGAGTGAAAAGCTCACCTTTATATCAGCTCTGAGCTCGACCAATTGCTCCTCTGACATTCGCACTGCCACATCAGTCAGCTTCTTCAGGGCCTCTGCCTTCTTCTGTCGGCTAACCAGAATTTCCACTGCAAAACAGATCACAACTTAGATAGCGTCAGCACTGAACCAGCCTATAGAGAGTTAAACAACTCCAACCCCAGCACAGAGCACCTTATTGGTAAACAAAAGGTTTAACCGAGTCCCCCATGGACAGCGCTGTACCAGCTGCACAGCAGCCCTGGCTTCTCCTTCCTGCAGCAATTTACATTTCCAGACACAGACAGAACCTGAGCTGTAAGCTGACTTACAGATAGGCACAACATGCAGTTTTAGTAGAAATTCTGCATCTCTCCCCCGGCTTTCTTTGGGCTTCTAAAACTGCAGGGCTCAGTGTTGCTCATGTCAGTGTCTCCTTGGAGAGCTCCCCCTCTGCAACAGGGAGGCCAAAAAAAGCTCGTTCCAGCACCCTAGGATTTGCTGAGCTTTTCAATAATGGCCTTCCATGCAAGGTTGCACTTTACATCCCACTTTCCAATGAGCACGTAGAGCAACGGCCTTAGAGAAGATGGGTGGCATGAAATACGTCAAGCAGCAATCTCATCAGTGTAGATATGGTTAACTTAAGCTACAGGGCAATATTCCCCTCCAAAGTTTTGTCTGTGTATAGAGTTACTTAATTAGGAACAAAGTGAACTGAAGGTAAATTACTGAAATCTTCTCCTAGTGGGGCTTTCTCTCTAGAGTTCAGTAACATCTACAGCTCTTCAGGTGGGCACTTGTTGAGGTTAAAAGAAAGTCTTACTTGCTTCTGCTTTCACTTTGTCCATTTCAGCCAGCAACGACACCTCTCGATCCATAAGACTGGGAAAAAATAGAGAAAGGAAAAAGAAAAGGGAGACGTTTTAGTAATAAACAAGGGGGACAATAAAATTTTCTCCTCCAAATACAGCGGCCGGAGGATGCCCAGGTTTGTCAGCTGGTGAGAAGAGACCAACAGAGGGCAGCAAGAACCTGCCATGTCTCGCTCGGTGAGCCTGCTAGATGGGAGCCTGGATTTCCACCACACACCTCTAGGCTTTCATGTTACCTTTTGTTCCGGAAGCTAAACAGTTTCGTGCAGCTTTTGATGGCATTAAACTCGCTCACACTTTGGTCAGCACACAGCACTGCGCTGGTCTCCTGACAACCTGCTGGGTACATGGTCATCTTACTCCAACAGCAGTCAGAACCACTTGGCAAGGGTAGAGGGGACGGCAGCCGTGGTGTTAAAGGAAGCTGCACTCTGCTGAACTTTATCACAGAAGAAAAAAAACTAGGGCACAATATTTACAATCAGCAGGGCAGAAAGGGATCCAAGATAGCAAAAGTACGAGTCTGGGCTTTTGGGGACCTATTCTCCAAAGGAAACCTCTCAGAAGCTAAATTATGAAGGCAATCCAACTCACTACTCACTCTGTTAGTTATGTACATCTATTAAACTGACAGAGTAAAGAACTTTGCTTGGTGGAGATTAGCGCTGTTCATCCTCTCAGAAATAGCACTGCACACAAGCAAAAGTCACCTATCTTAGGATGAAATACTAAATTTACTACAGGAAAAAAAATGCCCTTCTGTTCTCACAGTAAATCATGTTGCAAAATTTAAGGCAGGACAATGGGAAAAATATTGAGAAAGTAGCTTTTCTATACCAAAGACCTAACACTAGACAGTTGCCTGCATCTTATTCGTTTCAAGCACATGTGTAGCTGCTGCTACAAAGCAGCAAGAATGTCCTCTACCGATCAAGACACCTGAATTCTGCTGCTCTGCGCCACTTCACAGGCGGCGCGCGCTTTGCTGATCCCAGCAGAGCTACGGGACCACCGTGAGCACACGCACGCTTTCACAAGTTCCAGCGGGTAAGGTGATGCTGCCTGCGCACACTCAGGAAGCCACCCAGAGCTACACAGGTTCATGATTTGGAAGTCTCCGACGGTTCCAGGACTTTTCAGCCAAGGAGAGAACACCTGGGGGTGGGGGTGTCACACTGAAGCAGTCTCCACTTGCCAGGAGGCTCTGGTGCACCTCAAGTGTGTCTGTTGCCATGAGACCAAACTCCCCCAGGCTTTACGACAGCAGCCTTTACGCAAGCAGAATTGCACAGCTACCGACTGACCGAACTGAGCAAACTCGGACTATCAAGTACTCTCCAGTAACAAGACCACTTAGGAGCAGACAACAGGGAGCTTGCCGTAACTGCTGCTCCTTTAGAACAGGCTGTACGAAGAGGGCTCTTGTCCCTGCGGATGGGCACATTAAATAAGGCAGGCGTAGCGAGAGCACCTGTGGGAGACCTGGCGAGGAGTCAGGGACTGGCAGAGATAGCAGCCCCAGCGCGTGCTCTCTACACGCTGACCAATGGATATTCTGTTTTGTCAACAACGTCTAGCTGCTTCGCAGCCAGGAGCTACTCAAGCTTAGCACAGTCGAGATAAGGAAATAGCTCTAATAGATAAAAAGGGTCCTCAGGACACACAAAGTGAGTCCCACCTGGGTGTCTGACCCATGCACGCAGCCACCTCCCATCAGCGACCCCTCCATGCAATTCCCGGGGCTCCCCGCACAGTGTGGAGTGTAAATCCTTCATTAAATCCATTCTGTTTAACCTCTCACGTGCCCTGAGTGTCTCTCTACACTGGTATCCGACCCTCCCTTTCCTGCCTTGTGGTCACAGCAGGCTACAATGGAAATACCAGTATTCCCATTCTGGACAGAGGCAGGCACAAGCACACTGGTTGCAGCTCTGTTCTTGGCCATAACGAATCCAGAGCCTCACTTGCACGTAGCCTCCCTGTAAATGCTTCTTTTGTGCTTCCTTCTGAGCTACGCCTCCAACGTCTTCAGCAGCGCAGTCTGCATCGCTACAGCTCACCTTCGCTCAGTTGCTGCCAGCTACTGGAATACATTCAACATCCAGTCTATTAATAGGGCTCGTTTCAGTTTTTGCTTTCTAAATATAAAAACAAAGTCTTCCTCTCTCATGTTAGTTTTACGATACTTTCAGTCCGGACACTGAACTGTATTCAGAGAGATGTCACCAATGCACAGGGTCAGCCCCCTCAACACTGACTGCGTGTTTTTCAGTGAGAAAGGTTTACTTGAAAATGGGAAGAATATTTAATTAAACAGTCATCTGAAAGGAAGACCACAGGGCATCTGAAATGCAAACTCAAAACAGCTCCTGCTCTTCTGCATGTCAGAGGACTGAGGCAAGATCAATTTAAACAATTCCCTGCAAAAAGCAGCTTTTGACATTTGGCTTCTTCTGTTGATTTATCGCTCTGTCCATCTGCCTTTTCAGGGCAGGAATTGTTTCTGCTCATAGCACAGCAGGGGCCTGATCCAGGTCAGGCACTCTCAGCCCAACTGCGCAAATACAACACATGTCAAAAGGCACGCTAATAAGACTTCACCTCGTTTCCAAGGATCCCAAGCAGTTCAACCTGTCTCTGCAACAGAGAAACCAAAGGGCAGAGCCTAAAGAAACATATCCCTGACCGCATCCTGCCCAGAGCCACGTCACCAGCAGGAATCCCCCAGAGCTCCTACAGATATGGGTGTGAATGGTGCCTTCATGATTTATTCAAGGGTAGGAACAGCCTGGCTGCTCTCGGGCTGCAGAACTCAATTGTGCTACACCTATCCCATAACGCCTCCTCCCTGGATACGTATGCACACACCCAGCTGCTGCGGAGCCAATACCCAGGTTATCTGGGCCGTTTTGGGCTCTGTCCTCTGGATGGCAGGCAAGTCCACAAGCACCTTGATAGCTTGTGCATATTAAAGCTTGCTTTTCCTTGTAATTTAATTCACTCAGCAAAACTCACCTGGAGTCTTTTACCCAATTCTACAGTTGGGCTGACTAAGGAACAGAGGTCAAGTAACTGTGCCCAAGGTTCGTGTGATGAGACTTGGGTCAGACCCCAAAAGTCTTTCACTGTAACAACTCCCCTGCCTAATTTTTTGTCAAACAAACTTGCTTCCCAAGCTAGATCCCTTCAGAAACATGCATTTCCTTCTCGTCTGCTCTGTCTTGGGACAAGATCACATGCAGAATGGAGAGTGCATCTGTTCCTGGCAGAAATCTGAAGACTGGACTTTTAAGAAAGGACATTTAAGAAGCGCCCAAGGAAGAAAAGGGAGAAGCACATAAACCAATAACTGCTGAACATGAAATAATGCTGAATACTCAGTTGTGATCCAGCCATCAGAAGAGATGCTTTCAGCTGCAAGCCAGCTCGGTCAAGCAGTACCTGCAAGATGTTGTTTGTTAGTGAAGGACAACAGCTGTTTGCACAAGCATGCTAAGGGTTATGGAGTCCAGTTTTCCTTGAGGCTTTCATACAACCATCTCAAAAAGACTGAGTGCAATTGAAGGCGGCTGGAAGCATGCCTGGAAGCTCTGCCACAAGAAAACAAAGGCAATCTATAGCATGAGATGCACAATGGCAATCTCAGAGGTGAGAAACTTCAATGATGAAGGTAAAGAACTTTAGGAAGCCTCACTGACATCTGAAGGACATCTTACACACACAGGTTAAAACAGTCCAAGCTTTACCACTTAAATATCCTGTTTCAGTTGCTCGAACTTGCTTTTAAACTAGGTTTTCCTCTGGTAGGAAGCCAGCTGGAGAGGTGATTCAGCAAGAGGAGTTAAAGACAAGTTGTCTTGTGCCACTGGATTAAAAAATATACTAATTTTTCTCTGAAACAGAAAGAATTGAAAGGAAAAGAAAAAAGACGTGAAGGTAATATTTATATCTCAGCTCAGGGGCAACTGCATCACTTTCAGGAAAAGGAGAGTGATCTTTTTATCTGGAGTTGAATGGACGTGGTTGCAGAGTCATCGCTTATCAATTGTAGCGACATGGCATCCTGCTGGGCAGCTATTTCACTTGGCATTTATTGAAGGAGGTTCCCAATGGCCGCGCTCCAGACATGCATTCAACATCCCTGCCTCACGGATCTGCACTTCCTGGTTCACGCCAGTCCCGTCTCGGCTTATCGGAGCAATGCTGCTAAACTGGACTTGAGTCTTTAACCTTTCAGAACATGACGCAAGCGTTTTACAGACGATAACACAAGTCAAAGGGCAAGGAATTTACTTATACAGAACCAGACGCTTTAGCCAGAAGACTGACATTTTCCCTACCAATGAGAGGTTTTCACAGGTATTTGAACGGTGTAGAGAGGCAGACAGAAAACTTAAAAGAAAATATACATGCGTGTGGTGATACGATTGAATATACTCACTAGACAAAGCCACCAACAAACTAAGAAATAAAATACTCATAAAAATAAACCTGAGTTAGGGCTACAAATCCCTCAGCTATTGACAGGGTAAATTGCTTTACATTACAGCTTTCCTAAAACACTGGAATTGCTGGAAACTCCATGTCCTGGTTTTGCTTGGAGACCACAGATGTTAGAAATCATGAAAAGGCAGATCAGGGCACTCAAGCGCCTTTAACCCTGTCCCCACCCCTGGTTTGGGGTAGTCTCCTCTGATAAGTTCAAAAGTTGTCTATAAACATCTATGTGACTTTTGACAGTAGTTTTAGCACATGCTGAATTTAAATATTATGATAGCACTCAGTTTACTTTGGGAGAGCACTTATTGCTGGCAAGGTTCAAGACAAGTATGCACGCAACAAAAAAAGACCATACTGAACATGTAACTTCACTAAGGGACTTCAGAATACAACCATCTTTACATCACTACAACTAAATACTCTCGCCTTTGAGGCCATATACAGTTATCAGACAAAGAAAGCTTTTGACATAGGTTTACAAGTCTGCCAAATATCTACTTTAAACCTTCAGTGTGATAGTAGCATTTTAGTTACTTGTCAGATATTACTTCAGGCAAGAAGAACTCTCTACGTAGTTTCTTATGCTATTTCTCTATTAAAAGCAATCACATTTGGATAAGCAAGAAGAACAGTTTCTCAGAAATAGGTTCAATCAGCCAAGACAGTGAATATGTCTGATGTTAGGACTTTCAGAATATCATCTTCAAGTACTTATCCAAACCAATAAAAGTGTTCATTAATAAAACTGATTACACATGCAAGGAACATCATGCACAGTATTAAAAGCTTGGCTTAAAAAGGGGAAAAGTAGTGCTATACAGAATGATCACCAATGTGTATTTATACCTTCCAAAGGACCCCCCTCTCTTCCATGTTATATTCAACCCTAATTCGAAAAGTTCAAACACTAATGTTTTTTTCAATAAGACACATACCGCTGCACTCTGAGCTCTAAACAGTTCTCCTTCCAACACAATTAACAGTCGTACCTAAATTACAGTACGTTTCCTGGAGAGCTCCTCATATTATCTGTGTCTAAAACGGCTTTATGATAGACAGAATAACTGTCTTGTACAGACATAAAGCCAAAGTTTGTCACAGACTCCAAGGAACACACTGAAGCCCTGAACATGTCTTTTAATATTTCTTTGCACGTGTGGGACCAACAGCTTTAAAGTAGGCCTTGCCAAGCTGCCCACCAGCAAAGGCGGCTTCTAATACATTGCAGAGTCCAGGACTGTAGACTCAAGTTTATTCTGCACACCATGCTGACCTCTCAAATGCTGAAGTATAGTGCTCAGGCAGCAGGGCAAACCCAAGCAAACAAGTCATTAAATTGACTGGAAAGCTGAAGTCTTATTCCAAATTTATTGATCTTAATCCTTAATACCTGGGTCTGTTCCTATATTTAACTTACCTACTCTGCAGTTCTGCAAAGACCTGCTTCATCTTCTTAATGGAAGCATCTATTTCTTCTTTCACCACAACCCGGTATCGTGCCAGGGAAACAGTACAACGCTGGAGATCCTTCACTGATTTTTCAATATTGGAACCTACCAAGAGACAGAGAAAACTCTAAACAGCCACGTCAATCACACTGTTAAATCTTCCCAGAAGGGATAAGTCTAAAGATGGCTCTCCCTCTTTTTTAAAAAACTGTACCCTGCTGGGCTTTAAAACCTTATTTTCCTTCCCCATTACAAATTAGGTGTAGCAGGGGCAGTTCTAGAGATTCTCCTATGAGGGAAGTTTTCCCCACAGCTTGTAAAATTTCTTTCTGTGGGCAGGGATATCTGTCCATGTTTTCAAATGCACGAGAAGAATCAAATGCATCTCTGAGCTGCTTTTGTGCTAGAGACTGGAGACAAGTGAAATGAAGTCTGCTCCTAAGACCAACAAACCACATTCCTGAATGCAAAGAAATGACTGTTCACCCGGGGAAGAGAAGTCTCTTGGAAATTAAAATTAAATCTGTATAAAAGGTTATTTCCTTAAATCAAGAGATGAAAGGATTGGTTATTTGCTACAAAGGTTAGTCTCTGGGTCTCAGCTCTCCAGCAGGGTACATCGCCCATGCTCTCTGGAGCTTGTTGGAGCGCAGTTGCTCCCTGCCAAGCTGCACTAAAAACTGCTCATTACAGCTTTTCCATGCAGCAAGAAGTGAACTACCACCACCTCATCTCACTAAGCTAACTATAATAACTGTGTTCACAATTGGGGTCTCTGAGGTCCTTGCTGTCCTCACTTGTTATCATGAGAGCTAAGCTGTGGAGAAAGCACACGAAAGGAAAAAAAAAATGCAGTAGAAGGAGGCTGTCACTTCTTGTAACAGGGTTGGTCAGCACTTTTGGCCTTTCGACAAATTCTCACAAAAGATGAGAAAGAACCTAAAGGCTCTGTGATGGAGCACACAGAAGAATGGGCTAAACGTATGCAGTGTGACTGACTGCTTCCTCCCCTACTTCTCTCACACATACGGGTTTGCTGCTCCAGGAATTACATCTAAACTGCTGTCAAGATTCCTGCTGTGCATAGAAAAGAGGAGGAGTGGAGCACAAGTCACTGGCCAGATAATAAGAAGTATGTTAGCTTGCATTAAATTCAAAGTCCTGTATGCCTCACCAGTATATCCGCCAGTGACACCACAGAAGAGGCAGTGAGAATTCTGCCAGCAGCAACCTGCTCTGACATTCAAGAGTGCACAGATCCTCAGGGCCTTACCTAACTTCTTGTTTGCAGGTGAAACTGGAACATCTTCCAGCCGCGGTAGAGATAAGAGAGCAGGAGTCGAGTTGCTTGCTGCTGCTCTGGACAGACACCTGCTAGTGCTCCTCTGCTCAGGCCGCTGTCTGAGAGACGAAGGGCTCTGGGAAGGATGCACGGTGAGCGACTTTGTGTCAAAGTCTGCTATTCCATTCTCTAGTTCAGGCACTGCTGTAGAAAAGCACACTTGTTTAAAGGGGAAAGCAAAGAGGTTAGCAGAACATTGACCGTCTCTTTACAACAACAAGCAAAAATGAGAAATGAAGGTGAGCTGTTCTTGTCTGAAGAAATATCCAGACAAATCTATGCTCAAAAGGTGACACACAACAAAAAACAACAAAAGAAGGCAGCTTCTCTGCTTCTTAAACACTCAGTGTCTGTCTCCTACAATACTTTATAAAGACTAACCTGTTCTGTCAGGCATGTCTGGTGCAGCAGATTCACAATCCTCTAGCTCTCTGGCATCAATTGAAAGTGCATCCAAACCTTCACTGAGTGAGTCCACAGACTCGGTATCGTTGGCACAGCCGTTGATATGGTAACCGTTAATTCCACCCTTCTCAGAGTTTGCTGACTGCTCCTCTTCAGTGGACACCAATTTACCGGGGTCTGGGAGGCCAGGGCTCGATTCAACTGGAGGTTTTGGTTTGGTTTTCTTCTTCTTGTTCTAAGAATTAAATATCCACACCACAAAGAGAAAAAACATTAAGCTTAAACCCTAAAGGGAAAATTAAGCTTATGCTTACTGACTGGAAGTAGCCGAATTAAATTCTTTTTCGGCCAGCCTTGCTGTTGATCCTATTAACAGTAGGAGGGATTTATTTAACAATGAGGACAGATATAGGGGCATTAACGTGGTGCAAATACATTATCCCCTCTGATGGTGTGCCAACAAGACTAATGCACTGGGTAGAAAATGAATGCTACACAACCGATGGAAAACAGCAGTTAGGTTTGTGGCTATAATCTAGAGTGCTACCCAAGTTACTTCTCGAAGTGATTACCAGTAAGGTGCAGCTTCCAGCACCATGGTTGCTATGCAGCAACCAAATGGTTTTCTAGATCTTACTCTAGTAAAGCTTCCCTCATGTTTCCCAGCACACTGCCTTTTAGTCAAAATTTTTCCACTTTATTTTAAATTGGTATTTTTCAGGTAGTCAAATAAGTACGATTACGGTTTTATTCTCGTCCTGGATATAGATGCTACACTACTAAGTATTGAAATTTTGCAAGTCTTTATTTAACCCTTTCATAGGGGTCTGAGCAAAGCACTAGGCAAAACGCTCAAGAAATAAACCTTACATGACAAAGTAATGTATTTCCACAGAGCTCAGCATTAAATGCAACTGTTAAGCTCCAAAGGTTACCGATGAAAAATGGAACGGCGTGACTATCAGAACAGTGAATTACAGTGCTCTGGTGAAATAAATGGACCTGATAAAGATTTACTTCACTGTGGGGCTGGGTATACAGATTAGGGGTCCTGTAGAGGGTCAACAGAATAAAAGCTATTGCAAGGATAGGAAGCTTTTTTTAGAAGCTTTTTTCGGATCCTGCATTCAGCATAATGCACGTGACAATTAAATTAAATGCATATGTGGCTAGAAGATGATATTTACAACTTATACTGAAATTGCCATGTAAATCATTGCCCTTAACAGTGAGAAACTTGATACCCTAGTGACTATCTCTGGGGGTCAGTTCCACTTACATCAATACACGTTTGCTCTTTGGTTTCTTTTCTCATCTGAATCATGAGGAATGCCTAATGCCTACTCTCTGTATTCTAAATTAATACTCCCTCATCCTTTAAAAAAAAAAAAAGATGATAAATACCTTAGGCCTTAGGAAGGCACATTTAAAAGAATTACCTTTTTTTTGCCTGTTACAGTCCACTCTTTCAATACTTCACTGGCATTGCCTGAAACAAAATGCAGCGATGAGCAGTGGATAAGGCATCAACTCCAGTTCTTCCATGGTAATATGCAAATGTCTCCATACCTGGAGCCAGCTGTGATACTTCCTACAGCTAAGTTTCATTTCTCTTAGTTGATGCAATAAAAGGATTAGTTTCATTTTTGCTTTGGGAACACACTGCTGAGTGGGAATACTCCCTTACAACACAGTGCCAGCTGTTTCCAGGAAACAATCCTCTTTTTGGCTCTGTCATACTGAAAGGTTTAGGTACTTAGAACCCTGCTAGAGCATGTACTGAATTCAAAGGTTGCGGTCAGGTCAGATATCTGCTAGCTTTCTCTCCCCAGAGACACTGATTGTATCTGGATGCCCAGAGTCTCAGGAACAGCTGTCATCCCTTCTGTGGGCCAGAGGCAAACACGGTTGTCAGTGATGGTCAGCACGGAAATAAGACCAGCAAAGCGACAGGCAGTGTCCCCAGCAACAGCCTGTTTTTCCAAGGTCAGAATATCCATCTAAATGCAGCATGCCAGCCAGACCCAAGAAAAGATCTGCAAGCAAGGTTTCAAAGTACAAAGAACAACTATCACAGGTGAAGACATTCCCATTTTTGTACACCTGAGCAAGAGTTTCTGTAACACTGAGCATCTAACCTCTTAGCTCAGGAACTATCAAGTGCTTATCTCTGCCTTGACCGCTAATGGAATGAATACTGACTGAAAACATGGGAGGGGACTCACCTGCTAGTTATCCTTCTGGAGAGAGTCTATACTTGGCTGTGCTGCAAAGCTATGACAGCTCCCTGCTACAAGGTATACATACTGCACATAGCACAAACACTCTCGCTTCTGAAGTAAGCTGATAAACACGGTAGGTACAGTCAAGTTCTGAAGTCATGAAACCAAACCGCCAGTTACCTTCCATGAAGGCTTGCACTGTTTTGTCCACACAGTTGTCAAAATGCTGTAGCACAAGGACAATCTCATTGTTGCTCCTGTTAGGGACTATCGCACGCACTGCACTGATCTAGAGGGAAGAAGAAAAACAGGGGTAACATTTTAACCATTCGCGTTATCCTACCTGGAATCTACAGCAACACTTCTGCAGTAGGCAAAAACAAAAACAAAACAAAACCAACCAAAAATAAAACCCAATCAACTGATCGCTTCCTTATAAAATGTTAATATGCCAGGACAGCTTAGCCCGACTAAAATTTGGTTTTGACAGAGCTACAGTTAGGTCCCAGACAGAAACAAATTTCATCTCAGAGTGCAGATAAAGCTACAGTGTTCCCAAGTTCTTCCATGGCTTGTGGTAATGCTGAAAGTCTCCGAAGACACATTTACCTTCTCCTTCATGTTTTCAAAGGTTCCTCCTTGGGCCATCACAGTATTGGACTGCACATCAAAAATAAACCCAGACGGATCTGTGAAGACAAACGAGAGGGAGGCCCTCTTCTGAATAACAGACATGAAGAGACATTTAGAAAGACGTGAAGGAAGAGGTCAGCTCTGACTCGTTACTGTGCTAAGGAGAATATTGAACTCCTGCAAGCACACAGCGTTCACTGGCTAATTCTATCTCGTGGTTAACAGAGGGTTATTAGCTGTTGATAGTAAAGTGTATGATATCCCAACCTTGCTTAAGCAGTAGGTCCTGTTTAACAAACTAGGGTACTATGAAGTAATCGCAGTTGAGCTTGGTTTGCCCTCACCTGCATTTGTAGCTAGTTGTAATGCATTTGCAAGTCCTTTAAGTCAGTGAAATTCTGATTCATTCCTCAGCTCTGGGCCAGTTTAAACAAACAGACAGAGTGGTATGGATCAAAACTGCAAGCCAACAAATTTAAGCACAAGAGGGTTGGTGTGAAACAGTAATGAGGAAATTTGAAGCAGTCCAGTGCAGCTCTCACATTTCTATACTAATCTTAGGCTAAACATACTTTGACTGAGCCCAATAAAAAAAGAGTTGACAACACCCTCAGCACTAGAGCCTGAGGCAGTGCAGTTAACAATTTCATCCACCTGGAGATACAAACAGCAAGCAGTCTGATAAATGAGTTTGAAGATTCAGCAGCTTGTGTTCCCCGCCAGCTATGATCTCCAATGTAATGCTTATTTTCCAAAAGAGACCCATAATTGAGACAGCCATCACCAATAGGTTTGCTTCTCGCTAGCAAGCAAAGGTTACATAAATCTGCAGTTTTACTTAGAGACTCTTATGAATGGCTCCTATCAAACTCGCACTTGATTTTGTTGCCAAAGGTCTGAACAGCCTAAGTATCAGATTTGCTAAAGAAAAGGGATAGAGAGGTTTGTAGGTGTGTTTCATTATGACAGAGCATATTTTAAACTTGCATTCTAGCCACGTTTGATCTCAGAAACAATACGTGTCCCTCCACAGTAGCCAACTGAAGGACTCTAGAGGTTTTAAGCGCTCTCTAGCACCCTTGACTTCTCTCCTGAATCACTAAGGCCTTTCAGGAACTTCACATACGTGCACAAAAACAAAGGCACATGTCCCAGGAGGGCATTTGCCTGTAAGGAGTCACTGCAAGCACGCTGCCATCAAGACCACCAGTTCTTTGGCGAAGCTCCTCAGTAGGTTTCTACAGCGACCACTGCCAGACGGCTTTGGGGGCTCTCTGGGGCGAAGCGACGCTTCCAGCGAGCGAGGCACGCTCTGCGCGGAGAGGGAGGCTCGCGCCGTCACTGCCCTTTCTGTTTGAGTTCGGCTGATATTCCAAGCTGCTGATTCATGTTCCTTCCCTCACCTCCTCTAAATAACTCATACTCGATTTTGAGACACACCATTGACTTCCACAGTTCTCAGACATTGATGTAGCATTTAAACTGAGATGCCTCCCAAATACAGTGACAGAATTGTGAACATGATGGAAAGGTCAGCTTCTTACTGAGGCTACAGATGAATGGTTAAATCCTTCCTCACTCCATCCTTACCCATTTTAGCCCCATGAGTGAGATTTTCTCAAGTTTCCAAAGCTCACAGAGGTTAAGAGTTCAACTTTATAGTCCTTAATCTTGCAAATGGCTTTCAGACTCCCATCACTGAGTGAGAATTAGCAACTTTTTTTTCCAAAATCTTCATTGCAGAGCAGCCACCAAGGACCCAGGTGCCAGGAAAGATGAAGTTTAGCTCCTCCATGGAGCACATTTTCAGCCGCTCAGTCCCATCCCTTTCCCACTATTCCACTTGCACTTGGCTCTTGCAGGGGACTGAGCTTTTCCCGCACCTCACTTGGAGCTGCCTCTCCAGCTTCCAGTTACTTTTCCACGGCCCAAGTCCTCCTGGTGTTAAATTGTTTAACACGCAAGAATTATGCCACAGAAACTTCCAGTGCTATGCTGTATACATTCGATATTGCCCACAAGGGCTCCCAAGCATCGTTAAAAGCGCTACTGGCATTCAGGTCTCTTGTGATAGTGAGTGTTTGCAAGAAGGGACAGAATTTAAAATACTCATGTCCTCCTGGACAGAATTCAGCCTCTCACCAATGACTTCCTGATTTTGGGAATTAACATCCTTGTGGGAAAGGAAAGCGCCTTCCCAAAGCCAGAGCTCTGACCATGCATAAACAACATGAGACAATGTCAACAGCCTTAATTGCTTCTCCATTCATAACCATTTCCTCCAGAAAAATGAGGTAGTAATAAACCATTCCTCACAAATCATTCACTTTTGTGTTTTAGTGCTATTTATTGGACTGATTAATACAGGTTCTCTTAAACAGAAACACTGAAGATACCAGAAGGAATCTACCCTACCAAAACGGTCATGCTGCCTGCTTAATTCAGTCTGCTCTTTGTCTAACTCTGCAAATTAGTCCTTTCTGGACAAAGCATTTGCAAGAATTAAAGCTACAGATCTAACAAATGCCTGTTCTACTTCCTAGGAAACACGAAAGGAAATACACCTTTGCTTTCAACATCTAAAGAAAGTTGAAACAGGAGCCACTATTTTTTTTTCCCCCAAGTCAAGCCAGTTTGACTCCAGGCCAACCACCTGGAGCAGTGGCAGGTAGCTGCAAGGGCTGTGCTGCGACACTCATGCATTTCAAACCGCACTCTCGAACTACAACCGGCCGCAGCACAAAAGAAATGACCAGCTTTGGCGACATTCTGCAAGCATTTCTCGGGATGCTTATAGCTTTAAAGCCTTTCACCGTCTATTCAGGGTCATCAGTAAAATATTGCTGAAATCCTTAGATAATATGATATTTATGCAACTAACAGACACTTTCAAACTTGAGAAGTCTCTTAATAAAAAAACAGAATGCATACTATCGACTAACAGTAGCGTCTCAGAGCACAGTCTTCTCAGAAGAGGATATGTAAAAGAAATAAAAGCACCAGCACCTAAAGCAACAGCTTGACAACGGTACAGACTTTTGTCCAAACAGCTTTATGGAAGACACAGTCGGAAAAGGTACGGCTGTATTCAGCGAGATGGCATACATGCGTTTTCTAACTTCACCCAGCCTTTCATTAACACCACACCCATGCTCTGGCTCATGAAAAAGTTTGCAAGATAAAATAGCCTACAAAAGCCAGACCTGGGAGGGTTAACAGGACAAGCAGCCACGCGTCCACCCACATCACGCAGCCTTTATGCGGGAAAGGGCAGGGCTCTGCCAGGACGCTGAGCTCCAGGGACCTGCGTCCCCTTGAAGCATCGGAGGTCTTAACAGCATAGTCTCTGACCATATGCAATGCTCAAAAGAGCTCAGCTTAAATACAGTCATAATACAGGGTATTCCAATTAGCCAAGCACAAAAGGAGCAATGATCTCCAATTCCTTTGTTGCCATAGGTCTGAAAATCACACACCAAATGAAGGCCAGATGCTTCTTCCTGTCCCAGTCAGGACACTTGCAAGCAAATGACTTCGGGGAATTGCATATATACTTAAAATTCAATGCAATAAAGATTCAGTTAAACTGTTAAACATTTATAGACTCTGTGGGTTTTCAGGTCAATGGTAACTACTTTGACTCTCCCAGGGATAGCACTGAAAACCTCAGCTAATATGAAATAAAAAGCTCTTGAAGAAATGGCACCTCATTGCCCACTAAGAGAATCTCAATTTTGTTCTAATTACAAGTATCTTCACCTGTTTCTATATTGTAAGAATAACTAGATGTCCGCATCCAACACTGCAGAGGTGACTGGACAGGAATTAATGTGTCTTCCGAGGAGAAGGCAAAGTAACTAGAATATCATTATTCTACCAGTCTGTGCTTACAGTAATACTTTCACATTGAAGTATGAAAAACTTGGCTAAAAATCAGGTTTTCTAGCAAAAAAATCAGTTTTTCTAGCAAAAGTGCTACATCCGTGTTTGCATCTGTGGAAGCTTTTGTGATTTCACTGCCCCCAGGACTTCAGGCATTGTACTTCAAGTAAGCAGATCACCACGAGTTGTTAAATACAGATTACGTTTTACATTTCCAATGCATTGTGCTTTTCCTTAGGAATTATTTCAACATATACTGCTATTTTTTTTTTTAAGTAAGCATAGGTCTTGCTAACAGGCAACAGAGGTACCAACACTAAGTTCTCTCCCCATGCATTTGCAAGTAAGTAAAGACTAAACTCGGATTAGAATCAATATTCCTAGATTCTCTGCTGTCAATACAACATTTCATTGATATCAGAATAAAACTGATATAGACACATTTAAATAATTTGGCTTACCAAGACCTAAAAGTATACTGGCATCTATCAAGTAGAAATTACATCGTGTTTTGCTGAGACAAGAAAGAAAAAGATAAATAAAATCAAGGTCGCCTGCAGGACTTTGTTCTTAAACAGCAACCTGTAACCTCATGATCCAAGAGGAAGCACATCACCACCACATACCCATCTATGCCCTCCTCCCCCCAAAACCATCCAGAAACGTGAGCAGGACCATTTGGTTAATACACTATACTTGCCCAATTTCTGTCCATGCTTAAGTCCGTCCTTGCTGCTTCAGCACATACAAAAAAATTAGGGCTTGGTACCTCCGTCAGCTGTTGTGGAAACTATTTTAACGCCCCAAAGACACCACTGTTACATTATTGTACTGCAAAGACAGGCCAAGAGGATGGCAGCTGCATGTAAGAATTTTGTCTAGACAAGAAATACCACTTTCTTGCTTATTTTCTCAAAGCGATTTCAAGGGTCCGAGCATGCAATATAAACACAGCCTTTTCAGTCAAAACTTGATATATGACAGTTACCAGTTCCTTAGATTTTAATTAAGAAGAAACTTATTGTGTTGCAGATAGGATACCACTATGCGGGCAACAGATGGACTTGCAATTCAAAGAATTCTGTCCGAGGTGAGCAAACGAAACCTTCCAGATATCTGATCTCCCACAGAAGTTGGATGGCTGCTGCGTGGCAATGGAAAAGTTAGCTTTTGTATGAAAGCAGGCTGCCTTTTCAACATAAGGCCATTTCATTCGGGAGCCTGGAAGAGGAAAAAATAAAGTGACCGGGGGGTGGGGGGTTCAAGTCAACTAAAATGTGCCAAAAGTTATGCTGCTAAAATTGAGTATTTCTGCCTGACATAAAACATAGGTGTTTCTGCCACAAAGACAGGGAAATAGTATTAACACAGTTCTCCTAAACACGCTCCCTGCTTTCCAGGAGATAGGCAGAAACACTTACAAAGCAGGTCTAATTACTCCGCCAGTTATCACTGACGGGGTTTAGCAGGAGCAGGCATGCTACGATTTACAGGCAATTGTCACAGCTGGCAGTTTTAACCTGAGCACTACCTTTTCTTTGAATACACAAGCAGTGAAGCAAGACAGTCAGGGATAGCTTTCAGCGGCGCTAAGGCAGCAAAGTAAAAAAGAAAGCCATTAAGGCAATTTAAACTGCAGGACGTTGTCTTTTCCCTATCTAGTTTCCATCTACACATAACAAACGAAAAATTAAATTAAATCTGCACATTTTCAGAGTGTTTTTTTTCTTAAAAAGTTCTTCATATTCAACACACTGAAGTGCAGTGATACAGCTGAGGTACACATCGGTTTCCGACATCATCTGCACGCTCTCCCTTCATATCACATACATAAAGTTTACTCACAAGCCAAGGTCTGACGTACCGAGTTACAGAACACACAGGCACAATATTCTGCTTTGTTCATTTTCCACATAACTCACAGCAAGTTTTGAGTTGCAGTGCAATTCAGCAGTCTCCCAGTTTGCAGTCGACCAAAAAGCGATCTGAACATATACACCGAAGAAACAGCTTGCAAATACGACAATCAGTAAAGCCTGTTTTTCTGCAGAGCAGTATCTTCTACTTGATTGATGTGTCGTTAAACAAAGTATGAGCTTAGATTGAAATTTTTCTCACATTTGGGGCTTTTAAAAATATTCTTGTTTGCAGGTTCCCTGCTGCTTAACACTACTCTAGCTGTAATCCTCCCTTTCCAGTGACTTATATCCAAGACCTCTACCCCTTTACCAAATCTGTGTAAGACAGTTCTCTGTCATTTGAAAAGGCTCCCTGAGGTAGCCAAACAAGTACATGTTTGAGTGCTGTTTTATTCAGAATTTGGCATGCCTAAAAACGTGGGCTGATGTCTGCTGCAAACAAGGCTTATGTGTGACTGCTCTGTATCTTGGGGTCACCGGTCATTTTGACTCTGGTGGCCACTTTCATTCAAATCAATTAATTGAGTCAGAATAGGTGATGAGAGGGAGTACACACGCTTATTATTTGGGGGAAAAAAAAAAAAACATAACCAAAGCAGGAATCCAAGATCACATCAGACAGCAGTAAATCAACAAAACTACTCGATTACGGAAAAAAACATGTATTTAGAGATGTGGTACCACTGAGACTTTCCTTTGAATTTCTAAATATTTCTTATAGAATATACTAAAGCTGAAATGAAGCATTCAGTATAACCTGAATATGGTCCTACATTTTGATAGATGCATGTTGATTTTGAATGGCGATGATTACACGATTGGTTTAGAGATTTAATTTTTTTTCTCCTCGGCATAAACCTTTTGAGTAAGAAGTTATACATAACCAGTAATATCAGGAGTACAACTGGATTCTGTGCCAAAACTTTGCATATAAACATTTTCAGAAGACTTAAAAATATCCGTCTGAATAAATAGTTCAGATGTTCACTCTGTGCTGTGGCACTTCTAAGAACAAGAAACAGGTGGACTTCTGATTCGGTTTCAAAACTGCTGCATTATTAAAAATAGTTCTCTCATTACATATCTTTCAAGGCTTCTCACGCCTGATCCTTTGTTACACTGTAAAGTAACAAAGTGGTGTTGTTTTGCTTTTGGAAGAAAAAGAAACCAAAAAGATACTCCTTACCTGGCCAAGGTACATTCCTTTACAAAGGGCTGGGAAATATTTGTTGACTACGTTAAAGGTTCTAGAACAGCAGGAAAGTAATAACTGAAAACGCAGTCACAGTCCAAGCAGGACAGGACACAAACAGAGGAGTCTACAGTTTTAACTCTCACCTTCCCTTTGCATCTACACTGTGACTGCAAAGGCTGGAGATCAGGCTGCTTCATAAAGCAGGGCGTATTTTATATCCCTGGGCGGCAGAACGAATTAAGAGTTTACTCTGCGTTCTTGTTCGGTGTCAAATATTTGTGCCCACAATCGTTTTACTTTTCTTTAGGAACTCAATGCACGCCAGCACATCCCAACAGGTTCTCTGTATGACACAGTCTATTCGGAACAACACTGAGAACGGCAACTGCGTTGGCTTTCTCGTCTGGCGAACGCCAAAACCCAGAATTCCCCCAGAGTAACAATTTTTCATGTCTCTTCTACAGATTTCTCTTGCCGTTTCTCCATCTAGCCACACTAATTCTTTTCTGTGGCTTCAAGATGCAGTTTTCTCTCCACGTTTACGCAGCAACAATGGGCTGCATGGCTACGTTTACAGCCGCAGATAGGGGTCAATTTCTTAATGACTTCGTATTCAGGGCTTCCAAACAGACGACATAAATACAGCATTTTAAACATCATTCAAAAATTATAGCATACAACAATTTCCATAAGTGTTACTAATTGCTTTGAATCATGTATGGATTTAGCTGTCAAAGGAAGGCTGGACCCCTCAGGTAGACACCGTTTCTATGCCAAAGCTGCTAGGGGAAAAAAAAAAAAAATCCCTACAGAGAACAAAAGCTCTTCTCTTTAGGTAGAGGGCATGGATTGTCAAATCCATTCGTGTTAAATTATTAATTAGTAGTCAGCTCAAATAAAAAAAAAAAAACATAGCCGTCAATCCCCTTCTTCCTCAGCACCACGCACACACTTTGGAATTAATGTTTCGCATGCGACAAATAAGATCTCTCACTGAAATAAGCTCCTTAATGCAAGAACAGCTTTGCCACTGAACACTTAACATGTGATGGCAGAAAAAGGAAAATTATGCTGTGTATTTGAAGACAAAGCAAGGGAACAAGCTTCTCGCTAACTTAGGCTTCTTGTTCATTGCCCTTTTGTACCTATCTTAAAATAAAAGGATTCAAATTAGTCTAGTTTGAACCACATCACCTAGAGGTGAGGACACAAGTTGAGCTATTTAGCCTTGCTTTAGTGGTCTGTTTCTTAACAGTTGCCACCAAGGCAGTATAAGCAAACCAAAGGCAGCGAGCTTGCATTAAAACCCTGCATTAAAACTCGGGAATCCATAGGGCTTTCTGAGTCAGAGGGCAGAAAAGGATTGTCTTGGTAGTAAGATTAACTTCTAAGTTTTGGTAGAGTCAAGCCTGTGAGCGACCCAGACACCTTTCAAATTCCCTCTCTGGGTACGGCCAGCATGAAAGTCTTGCAATAATACCACTGGTGATGCCAGTAAAGAAATCAGTTTACCTCTAACAACTCAACTACTAAAAACTGTTTTTTCCCCCTGGAAGTCCAACTGTGACAGAGATGCAATATTAATAATATACAGGAACTTATGAAATCAAAACCGCCAAGCTAGACGATTGAAACGCTACTAAAAATGTCACAAAACACAGCAGATACACAATTTCACTAAGACAGTGACAGTAAGCTGCCAAGTGACATTAGCAACCTTGAAAGGAGTACAGAAAAAAACAATTAACCCTTTTCTTAATTGATAACTTTGGAATCAATAATGTTGTTTATTGACATTTGATTATATCATATTCACATGCACCTTACCTTTTGGATTTTGCTTTTTAGACATCTCAGCGCGTTTGCTCCAAAGCCCAGCTACTCAGGAGGGGAAGGAAAAAAAAAAAAAAAAAAAAAAAAGAGAGTGTCCTCGCCTTTGAATAAGGTAGCTGGCAGTTGTAATTCACACACCGTCTTGTATCAGTGCAGGCAAATATCTGTTTTGGGATGGCAAAATCCCAGCTGTGAGGGCAAATAGGGTCTGGAGTTGTCAGAATTCTGCTGACAAGCCAGCAGAGCACTATAGCTTCTTCCTCTGAAAAGCAACTTCTTGTCATGAAGCCTGACTGCAGCAGTTGGTATTGGTCTTTTCCAGTTCTAAAGAAGAAAGAAAAAAGGAAAAAGGAAATAAAAAGATTGCTGCAGTACTGGCCAAAGGCATACACTAAGTCTCGCAGCTTATCAGAGTCGACTTGCTCATGTTTAAGAGTAAAATTTGTATTTTGTTTAAAGACATTGCAAAGCAACTAGCCAGAAAAAAAAGCAATATTAAATATAAAGCAACAAGATCCCTAAAGAATTTGTAGTTTCAACAGGCTTAATTTAAAGCTACCGTGGCACTCATAAGACATTCTAACTTAAGTATGCAAGCATTAGGACTAGGAAGGTTTATAGCCCATTATTAAAAAAAAAAAAATAAAACAAATACCAGCATTTACTAACGCGAGAGCCTTATACACAGTGGACCAAGAGCGTGGGTCCTATACTGGATGACAGTATTTATTACAGTGTGAGCTCTTTGATCTCTCATGCGTTAACATGACGAGTATCTCAGAGAAAATAAAATTCACTTTGCTGCCAACATCTAATAGAACACAAATTTTAAACGTTTTCTCTGTTTATTTCAACAGAGGATGCGATACAAACCTCCCCCACAAAGACTCAGGGCCAGTTCTCCTGTGGCATTACATATATGTATTTTCCCTGTGTTCAGTGTGTTCCTGATTCAAGCAGCTAGCGAGAGCGGGGATGGCAGGCACCACATCAAATAGGATGACAGGTTAAACAAAGAACAACAGGATACACAATGTAAGGAAACAATAGAGACCTCTCTGCTACAGCAAACTGGGCCTAACTCCAAGGAAGGATCTGGCCCTCATTACAAAGCCTCAAAGCTGTATTCGTAATGAAGTGTGAAAAACACACAGAAAAAAAGAGATTTCGATATGTAAAACGCAAATAATGTAAAGATGCACAAAAATATTTTAATAAACGTTTGTACTCTATGCACATTCCTGGTGAAGCCCATATACTCTTGAAAATGGAATGGCAATATTATTTCATCATTTAGAAAGAAACACGCATCCAATTCGCCTTGGAAATAATTAGAGGCTCAACTCTCCTCCACCCTGATCAGGATTTTTTTTTCTAGTGACGTTCCCGGGGTACGGTTAACAAGTCTGAGGAATGCAGCAACACTAATGCGATACAAGAACCAGCGACACTGCCCAACGGCTCATCAACAGGATCCTAACAAGCGTATTTTGACTTAAAAATAGGCATTTCCTATTATTAGAGTTTTCCTTTCTTGGCTACACAGGACTTCAAAACTTATTTCTGACCAGAGATCCAAATAATCTAAGCATGAGACAGCTTTAAGAACTGAGACCGAGTTAACACTCGCTGCCTTTTCAAAAGGCTATGCAAAAAAATTCTTTACCTGTAAACAGTCTCCTGAACCAGAGGTAGTTACAAACTCCTGCCTTGCCGCCTTCAGCTCTCAGAATTAAACGCCTTCATTTGTTGTTACACCACCTAACAAAAACGGTGGTGTTGGAAATTCTGTTCAAAAACACCCAAGATTTCCACAGAAGCCAGAGACTTAGCGAAGGATTATACTTCCAGGATAAAACAGAGCGCCGGCTCTACAGCTCGAGACTGGCAGCGCATTCAGCACGGAGGACTGCCGGTAATCCTAGCACGGCAGATGTGCTTTGGTTTGTACGACTGCATACAAGTTTCACTTCCCCACTTGGCTGCTTTATATCTCTGACCAGGAAACGCACTGTAGGCAATGCAAGTATACAGCTACTGGAAACCTTCAAATACGTCCGTGATTTCAAGATAACGCCTGTTCAGTCCAAGACAAGGAAAGTGCTCATGCACTGCCTTGTGATACTAAACATTGCCAGCGCATATCGTGTAAGAGTTTAAAAAATAAAAATAAAAAAGTGCCTTAGTGTATTCCATTTTATTTCATTTTTAAATAAGGAAAACCGTTCTTTAACCCAGAAGGGAGCATGGAAATACACAGGTACTAACATAAACCTGCAACGTCGCCCTGAGAGATCTTTTTATGAACGAGTCGGCTCAAACTTAATTTGTGCAACAAAGGCATGCTTAAAAATTATCTCTGGATATAAGTCCTTGAAAAGTAAATAATTAAAAGAACATCTCATTCAGATGAAGTTTAGAAATGATATGTAGAAAACCAAAAGTTGCTAGAAAACATTATCAGAAAATCTCTAAATGCTTGAAAAATACTAAACCTTATCATCCATGAAATATACTTTTCCCCACTTCAAAAGAGATAAATAAAGAGTAATTAAGTCTTAGGGGGAAAAAATAACATAGAAAGAGTTCTGAATTACTCTTTGGCAAGCCAAGTTCTAAATCTGATAGGCACATAAGTGATAAGATAGTGGACTGAAGGAAAATAACCACTGATATATCTGATGAGTATATATAACAGCAAATCTTGACTCTTTGATAATGGAATTCATACTGCAATTTCACCTGATGTTTCCTATGATAAAAACGTAGAGTCAGACAGTCAAAAGCAACTTCAGCTTATGTTAGAATACAGGTTCGGAAAGTTGTGCAACCTCCATTTAACTAGATAGCTTTCTCACAGCAAATCAGATGAAAATTGCAGCATGACTATTAGATAAAAAACCCTAAATAGATCAGTGCAAGAGGGCTGAAAAAAACAGAAGTGTTTTTACAACAAAAGTGGAAATTCCAGGACTAGCAAAACAGCAAAGGTTAGGGCGAGTTCAAATAAATGAAATAAACTTGCTACAGATGGTGAGCTCTTCCAGATAAGGGCAATATAAGTCTTACATAACATACCATATACTTTAATAGAAGCAATAAAGCCAAGAAAGTATAAATAATGCTAAGAAACCTATCAGCAGGATTAAAATATTACAATTATAATAGAATTGATACAGGAACAACAAAATCCCCAGAAACCCAGCATCTTCCCATTACTGACTCAGCCACTGACCTCTTCCTAGAGCTGCTGCTGTTTAGTTGATGGCATAAAATTTTTCAAGTTACACTGGAAATGCACGTTTTTGCTAAATGCACATCAGCATATTCTATTTAAGAAGGAAGAAAAACATATCCAAAATTTTACAGCCACCAAGTCAAAAAAGAAGCGACTTTAAAATCAACAACCCACTGAGTAAGAAGAGCACAGAAAACAGTCCAGACTGATATTTCAGTAAACTTTGAGAACTCGATAGCTCCCTGTTTAAAGGAAAATAAGATAAACAGTGAGAATTTTATCTGGATTCTCTATTAGTCTACAGAAGATGCTTTTGCTGTGAAATCTGAAGTTCTCAAGAATACGCCTGCTCCTTAGGAGGATTTTACCATCGTTGTTTTGGGATTTCAAGCAAGTAGCATAGAAGGCTGTCCCTGGCCTCCACCTCACCCCCAGCTTAAGCATAATTCATGCTGTACAGTAGCATCTGGCTAATTGGCTTTTGAGTTAAGCAGTCCCTTACCAAGCTATTTTAATCTTGTTGATCAAGCACGTAAGAAGAGTCTCTCTGAGTACACACAATAGCATTTCACTGGAATAAATCGCTCTATTTGTAATTTATAATCATTCTCAAATAGAAATCCTGCTTCCAAGACTCAGAGGACAGAGGTGTTTACCCACAGTGCTGGGCCCCCTTCTCTTTGAAATGCATTCACACAAGAAAGGAATTCACCTCCGTTTTATACAGTGTCCAAAAAAGAAGAAGAAAAAAAGAAGTAGTGACAATTATACTAGAAATTCAATAATGTATTTTATGTTTCCTTAAGCCACATTTAGAGAGGTTGGTTTCAGATGTCCACTACATACAGGAACACGCTAACACCCAAAAGTTTGTTGGGTTTGCACGTGTACTTGCAACGCTTCCCACTGCGTGAGTACAGCCAGATTTCTCACAGACCTCCGCTGAATCCCAGACCTCCGCTGAATCCCAGAGGGGAAGACGGGAAGGTTATGCAGTGCCTGTTTTTTAAGCAAATTATAGTCCAAAATAAGACTGTTAATATCTCTTATGCTCAGTACAGGCCTCAGTCATTTCTGAGTGAAGAACTAACTTTTTTGTCCTGAAATAGACTGGACATTGGCTGATGGGCTAGTGAGCCCAAAGGGTTCCTATCCCATACAAAACACAGCAGGCCAAATATTTTGATATAAGTCATTTAGCTTTATTATCTTGTGTCAGAAAGGAACAGAACACACCGTACAACACTAAGCGCAGCACAAGAAGCCTGACTGTAACTGATTTTTTTTTTTTTTAATCGACACAATCAGTTTTCAGAAGCTCCTTCCACCAAACAATGGAACAGTTAATGCACAGGATCGTGTGCATGTGGGGAAGGGAGAGCGGAGGGAGCAGCCTTCTTGGTTTTCCCAACACAGGTCTGAAAAAGTCTAATATCAATGACTGCACTGAAATCCCTGTTTACATAAAGCAGCCTCTTTTTCTGCCCTAGACTACTCCTTCCATGTTACTGGATAAAGGATCGTAAAACTGTACAATACAAAAGAACCATTTTAGGACTGAAAGATCACTAGTTTCTTAGTATCATTCTTGGGGTTTTTTTCCCCCCAGTATTTCCTCAGTTTTGTTATTTTGAACAAGAATGAACTGAACATTTAACTTCAGAGATAATTAGCTGTCTATATTCTGTTTAAATCCACACATTTATTGTTCTTTCACCAAATGCATTATGCAGAGCACGACTGAGCATTAGCTATTCTCAAACATGTACCTCTTACAAGCTAATTGTGTATCATTTTGCAGCCCAAAGAAGTAAAACTAAGTATTTCACATGACAAAACATTCCTGTATCTATTGTGAGGATGTTACAAAACCCCACACGGTGTATTCACGTGTACTTACACTGAATAAAACAACAGACCACCATTTTTTGTTTTCTTCACAAGGGGGCTACAGCTTCCTGATCACACTGTGCTTTCTGTGCTCAATTTCAAAATAAATGGGTACTGGGAATTTCTGATAAGCTGCCTAGTGCTTTACAGGTATCAATGCAATCTGAAAACCTGATGCAAAGATCTCACTTTGTCTTCTAGTCATCCCTCCCTCCCTCCCTCCATTCAAAGGTCTCAAAGCTTTCCCAAAGCCTTAGTTATCCTTCCTAACCAGTCCTACTATGAGACAACAAAATGTTGATATCTGTGCAAGTTCGTCCCATGTAATTTTGCATGCATTACTACTACTTTCAGACTGTATGTGCCAGCTTTCTGATCTGAAAGACGCTCCCAGTGACTTGCGATGAATTGTATTTAAAAGGACAAAGGCACATCCTTTAGGTTAAATTTTACTTTTTATCTAAGTAGATAAAAATCATGAGCTTTTGAAAAGAAGAAGAAATAATGGCAAATACATCAGAGGATGCCACCTTTCATTGCCTCACTGTAAGTGGTGAAAGCTTATCTTCATCTCCCCCAACTTAACTTAAAGAGGAGGGAAAGGACAGTTTCACTGAAGTCCTACTAGAAACCTTTCCCCCCCCCCCCCCCAGCTTTTTCCTTGACTATAGCTAACCTCCAAGTCTGATATCCCAAAACAAGGCTTGAAAGCTCCGTTGTCCTGGATCCAATAAGAATCTTCTGCTTAGGGGTTGCAACACAATAGCTCAGCAAAATTATAACATATTTACATGCCCCTCAAAAAATAAACTACAGTGGAAAAAAAAACACTTACACATTAGACAATTCTCCTTAAAAAAAGCAGTTTAGCCTGGCAAACCTTTAACTACAATAACTTCAGCAGACAGTGTTACGGTCATATATTTGTGATATATAGTAGAACAGCTGCTGGAGTTGCATGCAACTTTCATGCAGATTGCATCTGAAAGTTAAGATTAGTTGCATATGCTTTTGCAGGCATTTAACACAAAAACAATTACAATAAAAAACATAAATACTTAAATCTCATGTACTATTTATTAGTCCATATAGTAATACAGTCCAAAAGTGGAAAAGTTGAGCTGAAAAGTCATGAGGAAGAACGAGTGATATGGATCTAAACGGTATTTCAGTGTCTTCATGCAAGACCCTACCGGAGTGGCCTGCACTCCCAAACTACCACAAAGTTTAGTGTGCTGGCAGTTTCTGTGAAAAGGGGCTATAGCAAAAATAACCAGGATGCTGTAAGCAAACATTCCGATATGTTAGCAGAAAAGGGGAAGGGTTTTCATTTACTCATGGCTCAAAGAGTACTTAAAAAAATAAATAAATAAGAATTTTTTTTAAAAAGGAGGAAGGCGAAGCTGTAGTACTGTCAAAACCCACATCTTCCCCTTCACCTTTCAAATAATTTTAGAAGGCAGCATCAATACTGAATGCATGTATTTCTGGAGAGATGCTGCTTTTACTCAGTCATGCCTGGATCTAGATACAGAGAGTGACGCGTTTTCCTATGCTCTGTCTTCCTAAGGCAGGTTATTAAGAAGTTCAGTGCTCCCTACAACCACAAAGAGTTTAAGACCCCTCAGGCGTAATACAGATATCAGCTTCCCTTTC